TAGGTCCACAGAGACGCAGGTGCCCATGTTTGTAGAGCCTTGGTATCACCTGGGTAGTGGGGCAGCAGCAACATCAGGCCCTGATGCTGTTGCGAGGAGTAACACAGGTCAAACTTGGAGGCCCTAGTGCCCCTGGAGCTCAGGAAGCACTGCTTCTTCAACTGCTCAATGATTCATTCTCTCCAGCGGGTCAGACTTGTTGCCATGGGTTGGCATTTCACATTCTTCCCCATCACATGGCCTCATGACCTCCTGTTTCACTCACATGTCCAAAACCAGGTCTTAAGAAATAACCCATCTGAAAGCTTTCTTTTCTGTGCAGACTCCAGTTGCTGCCACGTATGGTACATAAACATTGCTTAAAACCTTGTACCAGATACAGCTGTGCTTCCACAGGCTAACAGATCAAGATGATCAAAGGGTCCAAGTGAATATTAGAAAGTGTACACAAAGCCAAGTTAAAGGATGAGATTTTAATTTAGTTTCTTGTTATGCTAATAACTTTTTCCAGTACAGCCCTGAGAAGTGTTCTAAATGTGCAAAATCGAATTGTGCCCTTCTCCAAATAACCCCAAATGAATACTTCTTCAGTAATTAACAAACCAAGATTCAAGTCAACATATCTCCAAGGTCCAATCCAACTCCAAAGTTAATCAACCCAAACAGAATGACAGAAACCATGTGGTTAGGGGCCTAGAAGCCCTGAAGAGTTGAGGCTTCTAACTGGGTTTCCTCACGTCCCCTGATTCTGCTCCATGCCTGCATCGGGGACACATCCAGCTCACAGGGGCACACCATCCCCAGGTAGTCCATTTGTGGAATTTGCTGTGAACCTTGTAGTGTACCTTCAGGTGTGTTTTGACCAAATGGCACCAACAGGTTGGATAAGAAGCTTACTGTATTTCTGCCCTAGGAATCCCTGCAACCCTGAATTCCTCGGGGAAGGAGGTAATTACTCTGAGTCTGCTGAGGCAAACAGTATTTGTGTCTTCTGTGTAGGTGCACACATTGTTGGAGGAGGAATATCTACAATGTCCTTGTATTTGAAGCCATGGGTGAACAGATGTGAACAAGCAGGAGGCAGCTTTGAGCCCCACTCGGCATCTTAATGATGTGACGTCCAGCTTTTCATCTCATGGCTCCTAGGTAGCTGTCCAGGAACTACTGCCGACTCTTTTAGTTGGACACCTGGGAGGTGTCTGGGCCAGGCCATTGAGACAAGGGGACTGGGCTTGACCAGACCAGAACCAGACTCACCGAAGACAGAGCAGCCCCAGCCCTCGGCAGGGACCCCAGGGAAGGGGTTAAGGTTTGGGTTAGGGTGGCAAGCATCAGGCAAGATCAGCACCAGATGCTAGAGGTTAGAAAGAACACCAGCCATCCACCAGTCTTTACAACAGCTTCTGGAAGCCACAGCTCATGTGAACATCGCACGTTCTATGCAGATCATGGAGGGGAGCAGTCAGAGTTGTCACAGAATGACACTGAAGCCCTAAATAGCAACACAGAACCCAGGAGATGGTGAGCAATGCTTGACTGTTTCTCTAGGAAAATCATCTCCCAGCTTTTTAGGAACTGCTTTATCAACCAAGCACAAAGGAAAGGCTACTTTCAGACATGTGTGGAAGCTCCTAGAGGATGCGCTCAAGGCACCTGAGAGCATGAACCATGGAAGAGGAAGCCTGGGGCTAGGAACGGGGCACCCAGCTCCAGCAGGAGGCCAAGGGCTCTGTGGACCATGGGAGACAATGTCCTGGGCGACAGATTCCCAGTGGCCAGGTTCGTGTGTGAGAGCAGAATGCTCAGTTGGACATCCCCCAGGAAAACATGGAACCAGAAAAAAGTCTGGTGCGTCTCAGCGTCTGGGGACCCAGGCCCATCCCCTGTGGTTTCACTGTCCTAAGCACTTGGGCCTCCTTTGTGGTCTGAAATGGTTGCTTCAGACCCTGCTGCCAATCTCACTGCCCTTCCCACCCACTCAGCAGTACACCTGGTGCCAGGGACCCTGGAGATTTACCCACATGCCAGTGACTGCTACAAAAGATGTCTTGAGAAAACTGGAGGAAGTGGGATGTTGAAGGTGATGGTTATCTCAGCTGGGTATGAAGGTGATGTTGGGTGATGTTGAGAAAAAGCCCACGTCTCTAAGAGGCAGGAACTCAGGTATTGACGGATGAAACAATGTGATGACTGAGATTTGTTTCAGATTCCAAGTGTGTTTATTTGTATTATGTAAACTTGTTCAGTTTAAAAGTGAGTCTTAAAAAGTTAAAGAATGTCTCTTGTCTAGAAGAAGAGGAGGATGGCAATGCCAGGGGTGACAACTGTGCTGCCTGTCCTGGTGTCCCTGGCCAGGCATCCCTGCAGCCTCCACATGGACGTGCTCACAGTGTGGGGAACTGAGGGTTCAAAACCCTGAGCCTTCACCTTCGACAGTAACACGTCAGCAGATTGCTGACATCTTAAAAGTTAAATCTTAAAAATCTTAAATTGACAGTGAATTGACAAAAAATTGACTTTTTTTTTTAATTGGAGGTAAAATGAAAAGGAAGTTTAAAGAAATGAAACAGGGGTCTTTAGTGAGCAAGAGTGAGGGGAGTGACCTTTGTACTGTTTTGCTGGGGCTATTGTCACTCTAAGTATAAAAATGCATCTAAATGTAAAAGAATGTGTCACTTTAATAAAAAACTAAAGAAAGCAATGCACTGATTTTTAAAGACTAGTCTAAAGCAAGGGGACCTTACCGTGTGTATGAGGAAGAGAAAAGAACAAAACGCAGGGGTGCACATAAGCACCCCAACACCAGCACCCAGTCCTTCCCCCTCCAGGCACGGGCTCCACAGACTGACCCACTCTCCCTGAGCCCTTGCTGACCTTGAGGCCAGGGGAACAAGGTGCCCTCAAGAGGGGTCCTGGATTTCCAGGCCTGCCCTTTAACACCTGCCCAGCATCCCTGCCTCAAGAGGGGCCTGTGCCTGCTTCTCCATACAGACCCGCCTGCTGGGCAGTCTCCAGCCACCCGTACTGAGCAGTCCCCTCCATGTGGAAGGAAACAGAAGGATGAATGTTTTAACCCCTAAATGGTTAGGATCTCAAAAATAGGATCTGGTGAAAGATTAAACTAAATTGCAGACCTAATTGCCTTCACTTAAAATAATATTAAAGCAAATGTGATGCTGTGTTTAACTTGGAGGCACAGTGCCTCCGGCAGGATCGTTATGCTCTGGCTTCTCACAGGGGGAGGAGATAGGTCTGCTCTACAGACCGCTTGTGCAAAATACGTGAAATGGAGTCCTCGATGTCTGTTAAGCTAAAGAAGTACTATTAAATGAAGCAAACGGCCACTGTGGGGAATTCTTCACCCCCAAACAAACAATTCCTACCAGTGAAAGAGCCTTGGGGTTGGTCGGGGAGCAAATGTCATGTGGGCCCCGAAGCACACCCAGCCTGGTGCCGCTGCGGGGCCCAGAGGCCTGGGTGCGAAGGCGGGAACTGTGACTCAGGGCCTCCGGCTCCCGGGCCCACGTCCAGGGGCACAGGCCCGCGGGGGCCGAGGTGGGCCGCGGGGGCCACGGGCACCGTGCTGACCATGAAGGCCAGAGTCTCCCTCTGGGCACAGGGCTCAGAGGTCAAGACGGGGACACCTTCCGGAAGAATCCAAGGGGCCATAGAGCAGTTGCCATGGCCAAGCAGGCCTTTGGAAGGAGCTGTGTGCAAAGGTGCAAAAACAGAGTGAGGAGCCTGGTTCTGAACCGCCTTCCCCCGCAGTCTGCAGTGTCTGAGTTCACTCCCAAAGTGACCTCCCTCAGAGCGGCCGAAACAGCTGTTCACAGGGCGAGGGCAGACCCCCACCCAGCCCTGCCCGGCCGCCCACAATGAGGCCAAGGGGTCTCGGTCTCCCGGGGCTGCCCGGGGGCGGGGCGGGGGCCGGACAAAGGGGCACCGCACACGGGTACCCAGTCCTCCAGGCGGAAGCTGCTCATTTTCAGTCATCCCAAGTTAACTGGAAGAAAGAAAAGTGAGAGAGACAGAGAGGGAGGCGGGGAGAAGGTGAAAAAACATGTTCATAAATCTGGGATCTGGTTTTATTGTTTTTATTGGTGCTTCTACTTCAGATTTTCAGTTTGGAAAAATACTTTCTTACGCATTCCAGGCACCTCAGTGCTGGCTGAGAGATGATGATAAATGCAAAAAGCTTTTTAAAAAAGGAAAGTCCTGCTCAGATCCAGGAGAACAAATCCCAGTCAACTTGCCTCGGGCACTTCGTCACATTGACACTGAAAGGTTTACTTGAGCGTCTCCACTGTCTCATCCTGCTCCTCTTCAGCGGGTGAGACCCGCCAAGGGAAGCCACCCTACGCTTCTGGTCTCCCCAGCGTGTCCGGGGCGGGCCTGTGGGAAGCCCTTGGCTGAGGCTCCAGTGGGGAGCTTCCTCCACGTGGAACAATTCAGGGGAAAGGTTTCAAATGAGCGGTAGTGAAAAAGCACATGCCTACGACAGACTGGGGCTGGCCCTGGCAGGTGGGGAGGAACACGTGGGGTGCACGTCAGGCGAGGGAGGGAGAGAGGTCCCAAGAACACAGAGCTCCTTGTTTGGGGCTGATCTGAGGATCGGGCCTAAACTGGGAGGCCTTTCACACGCAGCTGTGGTTTGCCATGAAAAGACTCTTGGCGGAGCTGTGTGAGTCTGTGTGTATGGTGGGTGTGCGTGGCTCACGGATGCCAAGCTTGAATAGGTGGATTTTAATTTGCTCCAGCTGTGCTGGCCGGCCCGCTCCCCCACCAGCACGGATGGCAAATACAGTGATGGGGGAGTGGAATCCCTTTGAAGCAGCTGCAAGTCATTCGCTCACATAAACTGAAATGAGAAGAGGGTGAAAAACCCAAGCCTGCAACTCTGCCTTCTCCCCCATCTGTGCTCAACGACTCAGGGAGATAGCCGCCCAAACAGAGCCACCCCCGGGGCCAGCCACTGCCAGGAGGGAAGAAAGGCGATCACTCTAAGCCCAGGTATTTGGTGAGCCGGAGGTCAGCCTTGGGGACGCGGGCGCCAGTGACACCTCCAGCTGGCGGCCGCTCTTGGCAGCCACGTCCCCACCAGCACGTCCTGGTGCGTCGTCAGGCCTGGACGTTGTGGAGGGGGTCAGGTCATCAAGGGGCCCAGCCCCCAGTGCCAGCAGGATGGGACTCCCCACATGGACTACTGGGGACCCTGCCCGCCCACGTGATTGCCCAGGGCAGATCCTCCCAGGACTGCCAGGCGTCCAACAGAGACTGGGGGCAGGCGGGGCCCAGAACATCCAGGGAAAGTGACCGCCAAGGGCTTTCAGGCCAGCCTGGGGCAGAGGAGTTGGCACCCATGCACCCAGTCTGCCCAGGCTCCCCATCCACATCCCAAGTCTGGCCAACTCCAGCTCTGCAGGACCCCTAGGAGGCCCGGGCCTGAGGGCACTGGTCCACACATCTGGCCACATGCTCCCCTGCTGGCCTGAATGCTTACTCCGGGGGCGGTGAGGCCCAGTCTTGCAGGACGGGGCTTTGAAGGATGTTGAGGAGTTTTCCTGGGAGAAGCATTCCCCTATGTGCTGTGTAAAAGCAACAAGTGGTCAAGCATCTGGCTTCTAAAAATCACGAGACTCTCCATGGTGGAAGAGCAGGTGTGTGAATATGGGCAAGAGTGGGACGGGAATGCAGCCCGGGAAGAGGGGTCCAGCCTCTTCCTGGCCCGTGCACACCTGGGCCACATTGGGGTTGGTCTCTAGAGGCTGGGAGAATGGTCTGGGGGCAGGCGTGCGGGGCACTTCCCAGGTCTGGCAAGGCTGCCGGCATCTGCTCATGGGGTCTGGGGGGTTACAGCTCTGGGTGAGGGCCCCGGCTGCTCAGTGCCTGGGAGCAGCCCTGGAACTTGGCGCAGAGTAGCCCTTGAGACCGTCTGGTGACTCTGTCTTTAATCTCTTTCTGCTGAAAACTGTTACAGTGATTTAGCTTCCGAGACTTAGCCGTGGGCCACCAGGCGGGCTGGGGGAGGAGCAGGCTGGGTGCAGGGGCTGCAGTCACTCCGCTCACTGACGTGGACTGAGGACGCTGCAAGTGCTCAAGGCACACCGGCCGAAAGGAAAAGACGGATACTCACACAGTGCCATGACTGAGGGTGGACTTGAGCCAAGGGCCTGGGACGGGATGACCAGGGAGAAAACAGGAACTGGCAGAAAGGGGGGCCAGACCCCTCTAGCTTGGGATGGACTTGTGCCGGCTGGTGGGCTGGGACACAAGAGGGGTCGGGGTGTGGAGGTAGGACAGTTGCCCCTCTGCAGCAGAGTGCATAGGACAGACCCCGCACCCAGAGGACATGCTTTCGGGTGGGGGTTCCTGGGAGGGAGGCCCGGGGTGGGATGCGTCAGGATGAGCGAGGCCCTGGATCCAAGGCCATGGCTCCCTAGACGGCTGCTCCCTGAGCTGCATCATGCTCGGTGCTAAACTCCCTGCTCCAACAGCCCTCAAGAGCCCTCTGCAGTTCTTGCCACCTTCTCTCGGGTGTGCAGGGGGCAGGTGAGAGTCAGAGTTAGGCTATCACAAGGGCAGATGGACGCCGACTCCATCCCTCTTTCAGGGCCTGCCCCTTGAAGTTTCCAAGTAAGCCCCAGGAATGCAGCCAATTAGAGACCTATTTGGGTAAATAGGATTCTATTCTAAAAATGCAAATTGTGTGGACTATTAAAAGGCCATCAGTCATTCACGCATTAGTGTGAATAAGGCCAGGGAATTACAATGCTGGTCTGAGCTCTTGGAGTGGGCTCTGCTGAAGAGGTCAGGCCTGGAGTTTAGAGCTCGACGCCCCCATCCCCTGCCCACTACTTCAGGGGGCACCCAAGTAGCTGTCGGTGCAGCCCGAGAAGGGGCAGCAAGGAAAGTTTGGAACCAAGAAGCTTTAGTTGGAGAACCTCCTGTCCTCTTTCACAAAGCGTTCCCCAGCCACAGTCCCAGCTCCTCCGCAGAAACAGCTTTGTGCACAAACCAGACAGATGGAGCCAAGAGCCTGGGAGTCCCAGTTCTGGGGGCTGCCCCAGCTCCAGCCCCCTACTAACCCAGCCCTCCTGGTCAGAGCAAGGACCAGTGCTTGCTCTGGATGACCCCTTTGCAGTCCAAGTCCTGCCTCAAAGTTTCCAAAGGACTTCTGTATTTTGGACAATGTCAGTTTCTTTCAAATAACTCATATTATAACACACACAATGATACTACCGGAAAAGGCAAGCAGAACTATGAAATTTTGACATCTGAGAAAACTTGCAAAACATTACATTTATGTCTTCTCAAAACAGTAAATATGTCAACAACAACAAAAAAGTCAAGAACAAATGCTTTTTTTTACACAGGTTACTTCCCCTCATCTAAAAATTTGTTTTAAAAGACACATAAAACTTACCACCACCTCCATTTTTGGAGCACAGTTTGGAGGAATTAAATACTTTCATGTTTCTGTGCAGCCAGCACCACCTTTTGTCCCCACGACTCTTTTCATCTCGTAAAACTGAAACTGCACCCACCAAACACTCACTCCCACCCCACCCCCAGCCCTGTGCCACCATTCTACTTTTTAAGACTGGACAACTCTAAGTGCCTCATACAGGTGGAATCATGCAGTATCTGTGCTTTCGTGGCTGGCTTACTTCATAGAGCACAATGTCCCCCAGGTTCACCCTTGCTGTGGCCTGAGTCAGAATTTCCTCCTCCTTTTTTTAATATTTACTTTCATTTGTTCGTTTGGCTGTGCTGGTCTTTAGTTTCGGCATGAGAACTTTTAGTCGCAGCACCTGGGATCTAGTTCCCTGACCAGGGATTGAACCCAGGCTCTGCATTGGGAACATGGAGTCTTAGTGCCTGGTCCACCAGGGAAGTCCCTTTCCGCCTCCTTTTAGGTTGAATAATATTCCACTGTGTCTGTCACCATATTTTGTTTATCTGTTCACCTGTTGATGGACACTTGGTTTGCTTCCACGAGTGAGTAATGCTGTTGTGAGTAATGCCGCTATGAACACGGTGTACAATATATGCTCAAGACCCTGCTTTCAATTCTTCTGAGTATAACCCAGAAGTGGGATTTCTGGGGGTTATTCTACATTTAATTTTTTGAGGAACTGCCATTCTGTCTGCACAGCAGCCACACCATTTTACACTTCCACCAACAGCACACAAGGTTCCATCTCTCCACACCCCTGCCCGCACTGGTTTCTGGCTCTGGGATAATAGCCATTCTAACGGGTGTGAAGTAGTGTCTCAGCCTAATGAGAGATGGTGAGCATCTTTTCATGTGTTTATTGCCAGTTGTGTGACTTCCTTGGAGAAGCGTCTATTCAGGTCCTTTGTCCACTTTTGAATCCAGTTGCTTGTTTTTTGTCGGTGAGTTTTAGGAGTTCTCTCTATGTCCTGAATACTAATCCTTTTTCAGATGTATGATTTTGAAATATTTTCTCCCATTCAGTGGATTGTCTTTTTATTCTGTTAATATTCTTTTGATGCACAATTTTTTTTTTAAATTTTCTCGAAGTTCAATTTGTCCATTTTGCTGTGTTGCCTGTGCCTTTGGTGTCATATCCAAGAAATTACAGCCAAACCCAATGTCATGACGTTTTTGTCTTGTTTTCTTCCAAGATTTTCGCAATTTTAGGTCTGATTGTTTTCTGTTAATTTCTGTATATGGTGTGAGGTAAGGGTTCAACTTCATTCTTTTGCATGTAGATGTCCAGTTTTCCCAGCACCACTTGTTGAAAAGACTGTCCTCCCCAAGGAATGGCCTCAGCTTCCTTGAGAACCATGTGACCTCACACATGAGGGTTTATTTCTGGGCTCTCAGTTCTGTCCTCGGGTCGACATGAGTGGCTTTGTGCCAGGACCACTCTGTTTTGACAACTGTAGCTTCAGGATGCATTTGGGAATCAGGAAGTTAGTCATTTTTAAAGCCATGTGGGACTGTTGTCCCAGAAACTGAGGTGTGACCTTGGCGTGCCAGTTAAGTCCATCTCCTGAGGGAACAGAACTGGGGAGCATATTGAGTGCAGTGCCCAGAGCCGGGCAGTCCTCCAGGTGGGCTGGGAAAGGCATGTGGAGAAGCTGCCTCAAGGGCAGTGTGGTGACGGGGCTGCAGGGGTCGCTGGGCCTCTGGTCTGCTGGTGAAAGAAGCCCCCCCAGAGCTCTGACCAGAGCCTCTTGGCCCCACTCCAAGGGCCAGCACTGCCCCCGTGGCGCTGACACTGGCCCCGAGTGTGGCTCTGATTTTCCTGAGCGGTGGGAGAACAGGCAGGCAGGTGGGCCCCTGCCAAGGTCTTGACCGCTCCTAGGGGTGGCCCGTTACCAGGCTCCCATTCTCCTCCCGCAGGGCATCCAGGCCTCACCCCAGGAGCCTGTGAGAAATTCAGGGTTGTTCCCACTTCTCTGTTGTCAGGGTCAGACTTCTTAACGGACTCCCACCATGGCATTCATGAAGCTTGCTTTGCTCCGAGATGCCATGAAATTTCCCTTTCCTACATCTGTAGAAAATCAATGTAAAGATCACACGTGTTCAGGACACGCATTGGCCACAAAACACCCGCAGCTGAGATCACACTCGCCCCAGAACTGAGGCGCGGGACAGGACGGCTCAGGAGCACTGCCCCCGCCCTCAGCACGCATGACGCCGTCTGTGTCAAGTGTCTCTTCCCTTGTGGATGGTCCACAGCATTTGGCCAGTCAGTGCCACTGCCAGGATGCACCTGCCCCACGCACGCTTCACGCACCAGCTTTGTTCTGGCAAAACATCACCTTTTCCAGCAAAACAAGGCCAGTCTTTCTTCAGTCTCCACTGTTAAAGCCAGAGGCCCATCCCAGCGGAAGCACCCACGGAGTGTCTGCAGGGCACGTGCATCCACCTGCATGGCCAGATGATCCGACGGGTGGCCAGGCTATGTGTCCACGGGAGGCTTGCAACTGTTTTCTCAAACCTTTGTCCGCTGAGGTCCACGTCTCCGGCCCCAGGGAATCCTGGGGTGAATGCCCACTGGCCCCAGTCCGAAAAGCCCTGACCCTCGAAGCCCTCGGGTTCAGGAAGCATTGGTCAGGCTCCAGTTCTCCCAAGGCGAGCATTTGCCTGTGGAGTGAATTCTCCTCTGGCCTCAGAGCTCCAGACGCAGCTGCTCTCGGAAGCCCAGGGCAGCTGCCAGTGGGGCCTGGGAGGGAAAGAGCATTCCAGGCTGGTGTGCAGAGGCCTGGACCCCGCGCCCCGGCAGCCCCTCCCCAACCCAGGACAGGCCTGGCGGCCACCAACCTTCTCTCTGTCTCCCTGGCCTGCCCGCCTCCCTCTTCACATCATAGATACACTCAGGGGTCCTGCTGGAGGGAGGCGAGCTCTGACTTTCGGCCGCCCTGTGGCTCTTGGATGCGGCAGGCTTGAAATTAGTTCACGACGATCCAGACACACATGGCAGCTCGGAAACCGCACAGCAGCCCCGCCGGTGGAGGAGCCCCGTCGCCAGGCAGCCAGACTGAAATTTATGACAGCGACCTGGGCCTCGTCAGGCCAGTGACAGGGTGTCCGCAGAACCGCTGCTTAGTCACCCATTCTCTTGGCAAGACGGGCAGATGAGGAAACACGGGAAAGGTCAGACAGTAGGAGTTTGTCTAGACGCTCTATTTTGGATTCTCCGCGCCGCGTGTCCTGTAGCAACCTTTGCAAACACCGTCTTTCAGCGACATCTTGAATGCATTGTTCTCCTGCGACAGGGCCCCTCTGTCTGCACGCCAACCTGCCCGCCCCGCTCTCGACCGCAGGCTGCCTGGGCTTCAGTTTAGAAGCTGGAGGGAGACCCTTGGGAGGCCCCTCTCCCGCCTGGCTCCCTCCCGGAAAAGACGCACCACTTGGGAGGAGGCCAGGCCCTCCAGAAGCATGTCCAAGGCTCCTAGGCAAACACGCCAAGAAGCAGGAGCGGCTGTTCTCCCTCCACGCCTAATGGAAGGCTGTTTCTGGCCCCTCCTTAGTCATCTCTCAGATTCAGAGCAGAACTTCTGAGAGCTGAGGACAAGAAATCTCACATGGAACCAGGCCTCTAACTGCCCGAGCCCTGTCCTGAGCCAAGGACAGGGGGAAAGTGAAGAGGATTCCAGAAAAACAGGCAGGTGTGGGCTGCACCCGCCTGCTCCGTCCCCAGCCCATGCTCTGGGAGGCCTGACCACACCCTGCCCCATGGCCCTTGACCCCTTGGACACAGGCACCTCTGCACACCGGTGTCTGCAGGTCAGGGTGCTACCCAGCACGCTCGAGAGCACGACACACACTGCAGAGTCAGCCTGAGGGCCATGGAGCGAGGGTCAGAGATGCTGCTCTGGAGCATCAGAGCCAGGCGATGAGAGAGAACCATCCCACAGGTTGCCGCTGGCGCTGTCGCCGCCTCGTTCCTGTCTCTCTTCTGCCTCTCGAAGCCTTGCTCAGGGCAGCAGGGAGGCCTGGCACAGCCACACCCGCCCGCTGAGAGCCGAGGGCAGGACTGTGGTTGAGGCATGAGCAAGCCAGGCACCAGCACCCGTGCCCCGCGCCTCCCTGGGCTTCCTCTCCGGGCTCCTCCCACGAGCCCCGCAGGGCTGGTGCAAGCCGGTTGCTTTCACTCCTCAGAGCCCTGGCTTCCTGATCACGTGGACCAGGCTGCTCTCTGGAGGTTCCCCAAATGGCCAGGCTGCAATCTTTCTTCCAGACAGCTCCCCAGACATCTCCAGGCAGGGCTGCAACGTATCCTTCTTACTTTGGAAACCTCAGAGCAGGGCCCCAATCCACCTGGCCACTGACTCACGGCCACCATGTCCTCCTTTTCAACTCCTGTGGGTCCAATGTCACGGGGCCACAGGACCTGGAGTTCAGGTTCTGAACAACTGTTCATATCACTTGAGGCCGCCAAACAGGTCAACACCAAGCTCATCCCCTGTACCTGGCGGGATCTGTCCACCTCAGAAGGAGCAAACGCACAAGAGGCCTGTGATCTGGACCCCGCAGACTGGACCATGAGACCAAGTTAGAACCAAAGTGGATTTGGGAGACCACCCCGCAGAGCATGGGAAGGGTGTGGAGCTGAGCAGAGAGGTTTTTGGGTTTATTGGGTCAGTTACCACCACGGGAAGTGGAGCTTGACCCAAACAGCGGCTCAGGGAGATGATGCAGAAATACCATGAACTCAGAGTCCCTGACTGAGGGCCTGGGGTGTGCAAACTGCCTCGTGCACTGGTCACATCAGAGTCCCCCAGTGTCCACTCTTCTGCCCAAATAGGTTTCTCTCATTTGAGCATTTTGTACAGACCATGCAAATTCTGTTGACAACCATGGAATTCATGTCATAGACTGAATTAGACATAAATTGGTAACTGCTGAAAAAATGTTAGGTACTGACTTTCAGCTTAAAACAGAGAGTAGAAGGTCACAGTTGTTTGTCCTCACCAAAATCGCTTGGAAACAAGGAAAACAAGGACAAAATACAAACATTGTGTTTAACTAAACTGCAGGCACTGGGAATCTTAAACCTTTCGCATGGGGAGACACCACCGTTCAGAGATTGTACCAGGATTGCAAACAGGCTCAGAAGAGACCTGGGGCAGGATTACTCAGGTAGAGAATGCAGGACACTGAATTCTGCACGTAGGTAGATACCCTGACATCAAAGCTCGTGATCCTGGGATGGAAAATGGGACCAGGGCCACGGGCTGGCTAAGGGACCATCCCTAACCATATTTAATGCCAGGGGACGGGGATGCAGGGCTGACAAGGAAACCCATGCAGGGGGCTGTCAGTGAGGTGAGCAGGGAGGAGCCCACACAGTGATTCCCCTGCAGGACTAACCTTTGTTGGCGCCAGGCAGAGGTCCAGGTACAGCCAGGTGAGTGGTCCCACCAGGTGCGCAGATCTGTGAGGCTCTGCTGAGAGCCAGGCTACGCCATCAGTCCTAGGGCACTACTCTGACCCCCTCCCGCCCGGACCTCTTGCAAATGGACAGTGTGCAGAGAACTCACCATGTTCAGTGAGGACTAATGATCCAAAAGGATTCATTCAAAGATACTGCAGGAAGCAAGGAAAAGGGATGAAAAAACAAACGGCAAGGAACACGTACCATCAAAGAATACCCAGGGTGGGTGAAATCATGTTGACTTAGTGACATAAACTCAATGAGGGCCACACTCAACTTTCAGTAAGAGCTCAAGCAGAGATACAAGAGCTCGTGGAGAACTGCTGAGACACTGAAGGAAAGGAAAAATTAAGTAGCAGAATTTAGGAAAGATATGGAAAAGGAAAATAAAACTGTCACAGGGTTAGAACCCAGAGAAGCTGAAAATAGGAAACCAGGCTGATGAAAACATGGAAAAGTCAGCAAAACAAACCCACCTTGAACAGAGGAGATGAGAAGATCAGAGAGAAAATATGGAAATAGAAGACAAACCCTAAAGAACAGTGAACAGAACCTGTCTTATCTGTGATGTCCCAGTCCCTCTGAGGCGCCCATGACCCCTGACCCACCGCTAGGGGCTCCTCTGGCTGCTTCCCGGGTTTGTGGCCTGGCTCAGGGAGGAGTCGGAAGGGGGCTCAGTCACCTGCTCAGGGTGGAAATGAGACCCACTTCCAACTGTGTTTGCAGTGAAGCAGAGCATCTGCGAGCCAGCCATGGAGGGACAGAGAAGCACCATGGGGACACCCCAGATACCTCACTGACCCCCACTATACCCCCATACCCCAGTACCCACGACACCCTGCATCCCAATGCACCCCACTGGACCCCACTATACCCACTGCACCTCCAAAGCATCCACTGCACCCCACAGCACCCTGTCCCCAACTGCACTCCCATTGAACTCAACTAGACCACCTCTTTGGGAGGTCACAGCCATGACCCCACGGGACTCTGGCATCCTCCTGCCTTTGATGGACAAGCACCCCCAGAACCGGCTTCACCCTGCCCACGTCCCATGTGATGCCCGTGTCCATCCCATCCTGGTAAATCCAGGACTGAAGCCTATCTCTACACTCACTTGTTAAAGGCCCTGGACTAACCCAGCTCTGAAATTTATTTGTTGAAGGTCAGGACAGAGGGAGACGGTCCGTCTTTATGACGTCACAGCATGGGGGCGGGGTCACAGTCTGGGGGCGGGGTCACAGCCTGGGGGCGGGCTTGCTGCCCCGGCAGTCCGGGTGCTGTTCTGAGCAGACCCCTGCTGACACGTGCAAGGGCCACTCCCGGTGGCCAGGCTCCGAGGCAGGTCCTCGTTCAGCCAACACCTTCCCTGGGCCCGAGGGGTGGGAGCCCTGTGACACCTCCCCTGGCAGGTCCCCGTGCCCCACGTCCACAGGGCCCACCTGCCTGTCCTCATCCTCGGCCAAACTGAGGACCCAGGCCCCACGACAGAGCTGGGCATCTGTTGAGCGACCCAGGTTCTCATCTCAAAACATTTCAAGAGAAACCAGCCTGGGTGGCGGAGGATGTACAGCAAGAGAAGCCAGGGCGGCTGATCACCCCCCACTCCCCAGGGCCCTCCCTCATCGCTGAGCCCCTCGGGCGGGCACGAGGTCAGCTCCAGGCAAGCCCGCCAGCAGCCCCCGAGGCCTCGCCCTGCAGCCACACAAAGGCAGCTCTGTGGGCCCCGCTGGCATGGGGGGTCAGCCTGGCAGCTGGGTTCCAGGAGGCTGCCCCTGCCCCACAGATGCCCTCTGAGAGGTCTGGGATGGAGCGGGCCTGGGTGGGGCCTGCCTCGCCTTGGAGGCCCTGCCTGCCCCACACTCTGCAGGGCCCAGCTGGGTGGCTTCCATCGAGTCAATGGTTCCAGTGGCCCTGGCCGCCCCCAGAGCATGAGACCCTGCATGCTTGCCTGCATTCACGCCCCCTCAGGTACCTCTGCCAGGAGAAGCGAGGCGCCCCCACCCTGTTGACTCTGAAAGGGAGCACTGAGGGGCTGGGGCCCCTTGAGACCAGGGTGGGCAGGTGGGAACCAGCCCGGGACAGGACGCAGCCCTCAGACGTGTAACCAGGGCACAGAAATGCTGGGGAGCCCGCACCTGGCGGGGAACAAGGGAGGTGGGAGGCACATCTGAGCGGTGCCGGCAGGGCCTCGAGTGAGCTGTCCAATTACTGTCCGTGTGGGAGGCAGGTGTCGTAATGGAACCCCGCAGGCGCACTCAGCCGCTAATTAGCCGTTACCTTGGGCAACTTCCCCAGGCCTCAGTTCCCCACTAAGGGGGTGGGTGATGGGGTGGTCAGCTCAGAGCAGCCAGGTGTGGCGGTTGGGGGCTAGCCCCTGGGACCCTGGGCCCAGGAGGACGGGGACATGCTGATGGACACATGCACGCAGCCGCCGGACACATCTCACAGAGCTGCTCGTGCGAATGGTGGCCCCAAGCCAGCTGCTGGGGGCCAGTGAGGCCTGCAGACCCCTGGCCAGACTCAGACCTGAGGCCCCAGAAGCTGTGTTCAGACAGGACCCAGTGCTCCCAGCTCCAGACTCACCTGCCTGTCCCGCCCACAGACCCCAATATACCTTTGTGGGGGCCTTGACACCCCTTCTTTGCCTCAAGTTTGTCCTCGAAGAAACATAGCCTCGGGCTGCCAGAATCGGTGCCCCAGACCCTCAGTGGACAACAGGCTGGGGATGGGGGTGGGGGGGTCACGTCACCTGCTGTCCTGGCCCCAGTGCCCCAGTGCCACGTGTGCGGAGCCCGCCCTGCTCCCAAGGTGTCCTTCGGAATTGATGTTTGGGGTCCGGCACAGCCCGTGGACATGGCATCCCAGGGCATCAAGGTCAGGGTGGACAGGGCTGGGGGCCTTGTGTGCAGAGTGTACTCCACGTCCAGAGCCCGGCCGGACAGCCCTCAGGAATGCACCCCACACCCACCATGTCCTCTCATGGAGCAGGGGGGCCTCCTTGTTCACAAGTG